CTTACACTGCTAAATTAGGGACAGCTAGCGCAGATAGCTTTGCGCGAAATTCAAAACGAACCAAATATTATATTTATGTAAGCTAAGTATTCATTATCTTATAAAGAAACTATTCATGTATCTTGTTGTATCAACATGTGTCTGTCAGTAAGTTTCTCATAAAATGTTAAATTACGTACTAAATATGAAGAGTATCATCAAACGTTTTTGTGGCTACAGGTTGACCTACGTCACATCAAACAGGAACCTGATTCGAATGATGTTCCTATCGGCATAGATTTAACCGAGTTCTACAAGAGCGTTGAGTGGGACATTCTTCTAGTTCCAGCAAAGTATAATATGGAGTTCTACGACTGTTGTCCAGAACCATACCCTGACATTACTTTCAATGTCACTATGCGTAGGAAGACGTTATTTTACACAGTAAACTTGATCATCCCTTGTGTGGGAATATCATTCTTAACAGTGTTGGTGTTCTACTTACCATCGGACAGTGGAGAAAAGGTTTCCTTGTGTATGTCAATCCTCGTGTCCTTAACCGTATTTTTCCTGTTGCTGGCTGAGATCATTCCTCCCACGTCTCTAGCGGTTCCTCTTCTCGGAAAATACCTTCTTTTCACCATGATACTGGTGACTTTATCAATATCGGTGACAGTTGGAGTCCTTAATGTTCACTTTCGATCACCTTCTACTCACACCATGTCCCCTTGGGTCAGAAGAGTATTTATTCATATCATGCCACGGCTTCTACTCATGCGCAGACCACTTTTCACGCCAGATGACGAACAAGTAGAGCCACCAAAGTTTCTCTCCAGAAGTTGTAACGGAGTGGAAGTCACAAGAGATTCCTTTCTGCAGATGCCCCGTTCCAGCCGGGATCCTTTTCCTTCTGAGCCTTTTACGTACCGAGGACATGGGAGTCTTGATGAAGCTCTTCCAAACAGAAGATACAATAGCCATAAGCAGTATCATCCAGAAATTAATCGAGCAATAGAAAGCATACTTTTTATTGCTGAACACATTAGGAAAGCAGATGAAGAGGAGAGTGTAAGTTGTTACAAATAATTATTGATTAAAATGCATAAACTCTATGAATTCTTTCAATCTATTTTAACTTATTGCCGATTTTTATGTCGTTTAAAGTAACCAAAAATTAATGAATTAAAATCAGAAAATGGGCGTTTTATGCAAGACTAGCATAGACTCGCAAAATATTTGCGGTCAAATTAGTATCTTTATTGCAATAGTACTTTTTTTAAATATGGGATTTCTAGAATAATGCAAACGAATTCTATTCACAGACAACAAAATCTATAAGTCCGCTTGTCTTAGGCCTAACATTTGTTATGCTTTCATTATATTCGATAAAGAGATGAATTAACACTGTAAGTTGTGTAGGATTTTTGCTTTAGTTTATTTAGGGTTAAACTTTAACGTCAGACCTTTTTAAATATTTTGATAAGCTTTTAAAATGCTGTTGTCAAAAATGTCTACTAAAGTATATTTACATTCACCTTTTGTTTATATCCGTTGAAATAAAGTGCGCGCGCATACGCATTTAGATAGTAAGGTGCGTGCGCATTTTCAGGACAAAGAGAAACTGAGTATTATTAGAATAAATTATTGAAATTAAAACTGTTATAAATCTGTAAGCCAGCTGTCAACCTATATATTGGCCATAATTTACATGTGAAGTGAATGAAAACCTTTTAAGTTGCAGTGTTTGAACTAACACAAGATATAAACATCACTGATGCAACACGCAGTTTCGTTCTGAATTTGTCTATAAATAGTAATTTTGTAATTTCACGACTGTCCTTTAGCTTTTGTTTCCTTCCTACATAACAGATCCATGTAACAATAAAATCTAACGAATTTAAATGAAATAATACGATTGTTAAACTACTTTAAATACACGTCAAATTGAAAAATGTATACTAAAAAAAACAGTCATGAGCTATCAAAAATAAAAGAAGATCTGTTAATCTACAAAATTAGAAATAACCATTATGAATATATACTGTAATAATGAATGAATAACTCTATCTGGTAAAATCATTGTTTATATTCACCGTTGCTACTTTATATTTTCAGAAGATTTGGAGTTCGTTATCCAGAAAAAGAAAAGTAGTAAAAATTTGTTACTTAAATACTTATTTTTATATAATTGTCATACAAGCTAATGTACGACGCTGTTTCCTACATTCCAGGAAAATACGAGAAAAACTAACGTTATACTTAACAGATGTTTGGAACGGATTGATCCTGTGGTAGAGCTCTGGATTTCGGAGCGAGCGAACCTGGATTTAATCCGTACGATTCCATAAAATATGCCTCACACTTTAGGCTTTGGGTGCGTTAGAACAGTGACAGCCAATCCCTTAGCGTGGATGGTGGGTAATAGGGTGCTACTGACTGGCTGCTTTCCCTCTGGTCAGTAGTTAAAAATTAGGAACAGCGGCAGATATCCTAAGTAACTTTGACATAAATACAAAATACAAGTACATCAAGCAGATCTAGCATAAAGGAAGTTATCATAACGACACATACTATCGTCGGCATAAATATTTCAGAAAGAACATAAGATAGAAGAAAATTGTTGTTGTTTTTTTGTTCTTGGTTAATAAATTACTTGTTTTAATAACCTCTGGTCACGACTTCTAGAAATAACGTTTTACTGTTTTCAACTATTTGTCCATAAAATAAACCAACAGTCTAGTGAATAGTTTTTTGAAAAAAAATCATAATAACATGTGTAGATTTTAAAGTATTCCATTGAATAAACAAGAGGGAACCCTCAATAGCTGCGGCACTTGAAATGTTTTTAGGCAGGATTAGAGTAAATTAATATATGAGACTTTTTTTCATTTTTTTATTAGCTATAATTTTGTGCGCAAACAATACCCAATTAGATTCTATTACTCATCAGAATTTCTACCAGCCTACCCTCAAATTCAAATTCTTTTAGGCAGGATTAGAGTAAATTGATCTATGAGAACTTGGGCGTGGTGAAATTCATAACTCGAAAGGGTTTGACCTCCTGAGTCCAAAACTGCAATTATATCTC